ACAAATTACCATCCTGATTAGAATAAACAATGTAAAATATAGAGTGGTCGTCTTTTTGCTCCAAAGTGAAAAATACCAACATGCTGATAAAAATTCAAACATAAAAGCCAATGAAAAACAAAATCTTGTCAAGTTGTGATCAAGTTATAATTTTGCTTAGAAATGTTTTATCCCTTTCTTTAGAGCATATTTTGTTCCTTATGAAGTTAATTAAATATTAAATTTCGATTATATTGATTCCTTATTACTTTGCTTTTAACTAAAACATCTCCATCACGGTTACCATATATGTGGAAATATTGAGTCCTATTTTATGTCAATCAGATTCACCACGTCCCTGGAAATTTATTAAACCGATTCATGAACATTTTAATATAAACTACACAAGGACAGAGGTTACACTTTAAATTCACCCAATCAACTGTGTCATTTAATAGAGTTAGGGAAGGTCCCAAACACTGGGTATATTGTAAGCTCATGGGAAGAAAACATATTATTGTTTGCATAAAACAAACGATGTAATGACATTAAATCATCCTAATTAAACACTTTATTACTTATGATATAGAGCAATTAAATAATTCCATGAAAAAGTTTCCTGAAGTTTAGAAATTTCTTAAAATTAATAGATTTTAGGTCTGTGCTATTATAAAATATTTGAAGCATCAATTTGGTTGCGCGTAGTTTCTCAATTGTCAAAGAAATAAACTACTCTAATAATTCATTTACTCATATATAAATATATATATATATATATATATATATATATATATATATATTGTCAATGGTTTCAAAATGAATGCAAAGAAATTCATTTAGTAATTTGTATTATTTAATTAAGGACACTATCAATTTTAATGAAACAGAAGTCGTGAATGAAAATATTCACACACAGACACACACATAACTTGAAGTCTGTTGTACCTTTCAGTCGAAAAGCTACTTCTGTTTCCCATTTTCCTTCTCTTTCCCCCTTTCCTTGAATCTCAGAAATGCTGCAGACAATTTATGCTTCCTCTCCTTTTTCAATTTGCTATCTTCATTGGTAGATTTCTCTTCAGATATCTTAACCTCGAGATTCGACTTTGCTTTCTTTTTTCCACCTTTGTCTCTACTTTCCTCTTCTGCACTTTGCTCCGATTCTCCTTCTGACACCTCCTCTTCCTCCTTCTTCTCCTCTTTTTCCTTATCCTTCTCCTTCTCCTCCTCCTTCTCCTCCTCCTTCTCATCCTCCTTCTCATCCTTCTCCTCCTTCTCCTTCTTTCTCACCTTCTCCTTCTTCACCTTCTCATCTTTCTCCATTCCACTCGATTCTGGTGTTAACTCATCAACTACTTTACATTCATCTTCAACATCTTTCTTCTTGCAACTGCCTTCTACCTCCTCTTCGCTATCTTCGGGTTCTTCCTCCTCCTCTGAGGTACTATACGACTTTTCCTTCTCTTCCTCATCCTCTGACTCAATCTTGGACTTCTCCGCTTCCTCAACCTCCTCAACTTCTTCCATCTCCTCATCGCTTTCTTCCTCGCTTTCAGTTTCCCTTTCACTTTCAGTTTCTGTTCGAGTTACGTTTTCGGGTCCTGATACTTTATCATTTTCATCTGAATCATGTTTCCTCTTTTTATTCTTCTTCTTCTCCTCCTTCTTCTTCTCCTTCTTCTCTTTCTTCTTAACATCATCGGCCACGACTTCGGGTACAGATTCTTTGTCACTTTCGTCTGAATCTGACTTCCTCTTCTTCTTCTTCCCCTTCTTCTCTTTCCCCTTCTTCTCCTTCCCCTTCTTCTCCTTCTCCTTCACCTTCTTTTCTTTCTTCTCTTTCTTCTTACCTTCAGGGACTTCCTTCTCCTCCAGTTTCTCCGTTCCTTCCTCTCTATTCTTCTCTCCATCCTTGTCACTCTCTCCATTCTTACGATCTCTTTCTCTTCTTTTCTTCTTCTCAGATTTGTCGGTCTTTTCTACATTGGTCAATTTGATCTTTTCGGCTTCTCTTTCATCCCTAGATTTACGACGAAAAATGTCCATTATTCCACGACTAGGTCTTC